TCCAGGGTCGGTCAGTGTCTCTCTCCTCTTCCCTTCCCTCCCCTCCCAGCATCAGTCAGTGTCTCTCTCCTCTTCTCGGGAAGGTACCAAGTGCACAGGGGGGGCCATGACCTTAAAAACTACACTACACTCCAAATGATACATTAAACTGAAATAAAACAATCTAGTTTGGAGCCCAGACCTCCTCGGCTGCCTGGGCCCCTCACACAAGTATTTATAACCAATTTAGTTGCGCTAGGAAAAATGTGAAATCACCAGCTGCACAAGTAACGGCCATATAAAGAGCCCCTCTCCCGCCTCAGCCGGGGTAATCTCACTCCGAAGTTACGCCGAGCGCGCGGAGCCTGAAGATGATTTCTGCGGAAGTTGAGAATTGTTACATAAGAGATCAGTGGTGACTCTGTAGCGTTTCCCGTCTTCGAATGTATTGCCCAGAATTGCGCTCCAGTGAAATGATTCTTTGTGAGATGAAAGATTTGTATCTTGTATGTGTGTGTGTGTGCGCATGTTCATTCTCCCACTGGCTCCTTCCTGACGCCTCATAATGAGGACCTGTCATGTCAAAGTGACACTAAACTCCGGAGTGAAATCCTAAAAACTCCATCCGAGTCAGTGTGTCATTGTTCTGGGACCCCCATGTGTCTTTGTTCTGGGACCCCCAAGTGTCAGTGTGTCATTGTTCTGGGACCCCCAAGTGTCAGTGTGTCATTGTTCTGGGACCCCCAAGTGTCAGTGTGTCATTGTTCTGGACCCCCAAGTGTCAGTGTGTCGTTGTTCTGGACCCCCAAGTGTCAGTGTGTCATTGTTCTGGGACCCCCAAGTGTCAGTGTGTCATTGTTCTGGACCCCCAAGTGTCAGTGTGTCGTTGTTCTGGACCCCAAGTGTCAGTGTGTCGTTGTTCTGGAACCCCCAAGTGTCAGTGTGTCATTGTTCTGGGACCCCCAAGTGTCAGTGTGTCATTGTTCTGGACCCCAAGTGTCAGTGTGTCATTGTTCTGGACCCCCAAGTGTCAGCCTGTCATTGTTCTGGGGCCCCAAGTATCATTGTGTCTTAGTTCTGGACCCCCAAGTGTCATTGTTCTGGAACCTCCGAACTCTGAGCAACAATGTATCTTATTTGTGTGTCACTCGGCTGGAGATCCTCCAATCATCTCTGACACTGTCCTTCCTTCTGGAGGGTGACTACGTCTGTTCCCCATGGTCCCTGTGTGTGTTATAAAGTAGTCACCGCTCCAAGCTCCGCCCCCGGGATGGACTACAATCTCAATACAAATGAGTAAATTAAACATGAGATTGTAGTCCATCCCGGGACTACACGAAAAGTTGTGCCATTTATGCCCCATCTTACGGTTTCAGATTTGTTCTGAAGGCAGAGTGACCCTTTAATCCGTGTGCGCAGTGGCCGCCAATGTCCCTGACACTTGTGTCCAGTTCTGGTGATGGATTCCATGTGTTTCCTTAACCCTTCCCGCAGGTCATGTGAACATCCTGTGTGGGAGAGAAGAACACAGGGCACAGAGGGAATTTAACCCTCTCACTGCCGCGCATTCACTGCTTAACTCCAAGATTCTGATCATTTGTATATTTGTACAAAAG